TATTTTACTTCTTATATTCATGATGCTTAGAATATTCTACCAAAGCCATATGAACTGCATAGTGGTGGTTTCTAAAAACTGGATTCTGTGCAGGAAAAGGGCAAAATTTCAGTCCATAAATGCACAATTTGGTAAAATACCTATGTTAACAGCAAATATTTTAAACACAAAGAGTGATCACACTGGAAGCTTTTATTCGCCATTTCTGTGTGTCTGCACTTCAAAGCCAGTTAAGAAAGCAGAATTCTCTGACACTGAAAGTGTACCAGTAACTACTCAGTGATTCTGCTTTCCTCTGCCACCTTCCTGCCCCAGGCATGCAAACAGGAGAGACAGAAATGAAACCTGACACATTCAGTCAGCCCCCATGATTTTTACAAGCTGCTTAAGCTTCCAGAGCTCTTGAATACTGCTTTGCCCATAGTCTAAATTACATAAAAACATCACATACTATTCCCTTGTGGTTTGATGTGTTCAATATATTGATTTATGTTTTGTTTAAATGCAGAGGGTGGTGTTGATTCCTACAGTGAAGAGTCAGATTCAGATTTATCTGATGTGCCAGAGTTAGATTCTGACATTGAGCAGGAAGCTCAAATCAACTATGATCGCCAGGTGAGCATGAAGTAATACTCTGCCAATTACCTGACAAGTTATCATAACTACTCAGGCAAGAAATTTACTGCTAATTCATCAGACGAAGTTTATTTTAATGGTGTTGAGCAGATTATGCAACCAATATACATAAACCCAGAGTTCACTGTAGCTGGAGATGAGAATTTAAAAGGGTTTGGAGAAAAGAATTTGGAATGGTTTGGGGGTTGGAACTAAATGATCTTTGAAGACCCTTCCAACCCAAACCATTCTGTGACTTTGTCTCAATGGCAAAAGGTCAGAAATTCCTCAGAGCAGGACTGGGATCGTGTGCTAAGTGTGAAAAATACAAAATAAGCTTGGCTCAGGTTGGTTTGAGGGATTTAATGGCTGGCATGGGGCTGCCTTGCCTTCTAGAATATGGGAAGTTCACCTCCAATGTTCCATGCTTTAGCCCAGGGCATCCTTTGTCTTTTCACCTCACATTCTAGAATCTGCAATAAATGTCATAGTTCCTTCTGCCAACAGCTTCTTTTACCTGTGTTTTACAGAAATCAATCATGTTTGGCAAATGAAACAGAGGTTTGTCAAATTTTCTCCCTCCCCTCTCTTTTACTCCTAATCTCACTGGAGTGCTTGTCCCATCCTCCTCCTTCCCTCCTCCTCCCGATCTTTCCATCTGTATTCAAATCAGTCAGCAGTCCTCCTCCACACTGTCTATGTGTCAAAAAGGACGTCTGGGTTTAAAAACTAAAAGGGAAAAAGTAGTTGTAGGCAGTTAAACAGCAATATTCCAGGCAGGTTAATGCATGGAAAATCCAGAAGCAGCTTAAAATAGTATCTTCTATAGGAAGTGTGAGACAGCTCCAAGCAGAAGCTGCACTTGGCATTTTGTTAAAGGAAATAATTTGCAAAAGCACATGGAAACAAAAACATTAATCTTCTTTTGAGAATTGGGATTTGGTTTGGGATGGTTTTCCTTTTTTTTTTTTTTTTTTTTTACTGTTATGGCTGAAGCAGCAGAGAAGATTCTAGATTTTGAGCTGCATCAGAAGCTGACACTCCTTTATTCTGTTTCACTGGTAGCATTCACTGAGGAGCAAAAGGAAATGACTGAGAACATTCTGGATGAAGTACAATACATAGAGTGACACGTACAATGTGTTAAGACTCTGTGCCTTACATTTCAGAAACTCAGTTTGTTATATGAACACCTTTCCTGCAAAACTCCAGTGTTCTAGCTTGGTAGTCACACAGATTCCTGTGGGAATGGCAATTTCATTGTCCATTTGTCCAAGAAATTTAGACACAGAAAGCGAACAATAAACCTACATTACAGCATTATAATGGATTTTGTTTGGGGTCACAGCTTTGAAGATGCTTCAAACATCTTTAGCAGCTCCACAGAGGT